CCCATACACATAAAATAAAACTTAAAAATAAATGAATAGAAAAAAAATTAAAAGATGCTTGAAACTTTAAAGAGACTAAAGTTCAGATTTCATGTCATTTTCACTTATCAAAATACCCTCTTTAACTCGGGCATGGTGGCATTTGCTTGTCCCTGCATTCTGGACGCTGAAGCAGAGGAGCCTAGCCATCACTGGGAAACCAGTCAAAGCGAGAAAAAGGCAGGCAGGGAGACTGACGACAAACAGGAGTGGGAAGGGATTGATTTTATGTTTCTGACTTTTTTTCCAACTAACAATGGTAAAAATAAGTCTGCCTACAGGTCATGAAAAAGAAGCGTGGGCTCAGCTGCAGCAGGTAGTGGCCTGTTCATTCCTGTTTTAGCTGGCCACCTTCCAACAGCTTTTGAGGCCTGATCAAGCAGAAACACCATCTTGGGAACAATGGTGGTTGAAGTTGCCGCTTGGCCCGAGGGTCCCGGAGTTCAGTAGTAGGATGCTTACCTAGCAGGTTGTCCCTAGTGACCTTCCTCACACTTCAGCTTAGAATTTAGCGTGGCACCTGCAGCCTTTTATAACCCAGCCCCTGCCTCAGGGCCACTTTCAGTTCCTGAGCTACGGTTCCTCTCTAGGTCACTGGGAGTCTCCTGGCTTTTTCTCTTCTGGGAGCAGACTTCCACACTAACCTGACTCCACAGGCCCTAAGCCTGTCCCTTTCCTAAGGGCACCCTGGGTCATCCTTGGCCCAAGCAGGCTAAGGGATCCACGCTCCCTACCCCTCTTGTGCACATTTCTTTGCATGCTCAGGCAAGGCTTTTCAGTAGGGACCCAAGAGTGTCAGTGGAAGGAGGGGAATCTTCTGGACACAGACAGGGCTCCAGCCTGCTAGGTAAGCATCCTACTACTGAACTATCTCTCTGGTCCTCCTCCCTCCTTTTAAAAAGTTTTTTTGTTTTCTGGGTTTTTTGTTTGTTTGTTTGTTTTTCTTTTTTAAAAATATTTATTTATTTTGTTTTTCGAGACAGGGTTTCTCTGTAGCTTTGGAGCCTGGCCTGGAACTAGCTCTTGTAGACCAGGCTAGTCTCGAACTCACAGAGACCCGCCTGCCTCTGCCTCCCAAGTGTTGGGATTAAAGGTGTGCGCCACCACCGCCCGGCCTTGGTTTGGTTTTGAAGCCAGAGTTTCTCTGTGAAACAATCATGGCTGTCCTGGAACTCACCTTGTAGACCACGCCAGCCTCAAACTCACAGAGATCTGCCTGCCTCCCAAATGCTAGGATTAAAGGTGTGCACCACTGCTGTCTGGCTCTAACATGTTTTGCATGGAGCCAAAGACCATGGTCAGGGCTCCTGCACAGTAACCCTGTGTGTTTATGAAATTCAGAGGGTGTGGAGACACTGGAGTGCAGTGGGAATGATGTTGCTGAGGGTCGTGGAGACGGAGCTGTAGTTCAGTGGATAGAGGGCTTGCTTAACAGCCATGAAATCCTGGATTCAATTCCCAGCACTGTGGACACTGAATGTTGTAGTATAAGCCTGGAATCCCAGAGTTTGGGAGGTAGAGGTAGGAGGACCAGAAGTTTGAGATCATTTGCGGCAACACAGAGTGCTCTAGGCCAGTTTGGGGAGCATGGGGTGGATGAAGGGGAGGTAGCTTTGATGGACTGGTGATGAATGTCTTGATGGGTCTTATGAATGCAGATTTGGAACCAAAGTAAGATGATCTGGCAAGAACGATGAGGACAAGTTAGGAAGAAGGATATCTCAAATGAGAGTCTGGACAGAGGGCGTCCCTCTGGAGTCTTTGAGCAGTCTGTGTGCTGTGACAGCCCATGAATGGGTTTCCTAAAATGGTCTCACACAAGATTACTAATGCCCTATTAAACAGCAGGTCTGTGCTTGGGAAAAGCCATTCCCCATATGAACCACTCAGTCAGTGAAGCTCTCTGGGGCACACATATCTGGGCTGTGAGAAAAGGCAGACCATCCCAGCCAGGGCTGCTTTGGCCAGGTCACAGTTGTCACATCTTNCTTTGGATTCCCTGGAGCTGGAGTTACAGGTGGCTGTGAGTCGTCCAACAGGGACACTAGGAACAGACCTTGGGTCCTGTGGAAGAGTAACGGTGCTCTAAACTGCTGAGACACGTCTCTAGCCCCCAGGCTGTTTTTTTTCTAAAGAGAATTTATCAGCTGGTGCATTCCTTCAATCCCAGCACTCAGGAGACAGTTGGATCTCTGAGTTCGAGGCCCGTCTGGTCTACAAATTGAGTTCCTACAAAGCTACCCTGAGAGATACTATTTTTTGGTATCCTGTGCCCCAAGAAAAAGAGAATTTATGATATGTATAAGATATGTGGCGGCATATGCCTTTAATACAAGCACTTGGAGGCAGGGGCAGGTGGATCTGCAGGAGTTCAAGGCCAGCCCGGTCTGCAGAGTAGTTACAGGATGCCAGGACTACATAGAAAAACCTTGTTCCCCAAAATAAAAAAGCATTTGTGTGTGTGTAAGTATGATAAGTGTGGAACACAGGCACCTCTGTGCACATACAGAGACTGGAGGACAATTTTAGGGATAAGTTCTCTCCTTTCGCCATGGATCTGGGATCAAGTTCAGGTCTAGGCTGAGGCTTGCAAGACAAGGACAAGTGTTTTTAGCCACTGAGTCATTAGTTCCCTAGGCAAGCCTCCTCCCCCGCTGTTTTTGAGACAGAATCTGCTACATAACCCTTAACTGGTCTGGTAATGTGTAGTCAGACTGGCCTTGGAATTACAGGCATTCTCCTGTCTCAACTACCCTAATACTGAGACAGACGTGTGCCACCAGACCCAGCAAAATGACTTTTTTCTCATTTTTAGTAACTATTAATGCAACAGGATCTCTCTTAGCCTATGCCAGCCTATAACTTGTAATCCTTTTGCCTCTGTCGCCCCTGTGCTGGAATTATAGGTGTGTACCACCATTCCCAACCGAGGATGTATGTCCCTGGAAGCTGCTGAGGAGCCTTGGTCCTGACATTGCTGGGGGCTGGGCAAAGAGAAGACGATGCATAGAGGTGACTTCTGGTCTGTTTCAGACTTGGGTCCTGGAAAGAGAGACCATGCCCCTCCTGTTCCCATTCCATGAACAGAACTGAGAGGACCGAGGGTTTAGTGACCCTGCTATTGATGAACCCTTCATTTTCCTGTTCAGGAAATATATAGCCTAGCTAGCTTTCGCCTGTTCAGAGGCCAAGGAGAGGCTGTCAATATTGTTCGAGAACTAGGGAACCTAGGACTTGGTATGTGTTAGGTAAACACTCTATCCCAGAGCTATTGTCCAGTCCAGAAAACAGCTAGGCCCCTTTTACTGAGGGAGGGGATGCTTTCAGATTTTGATCCAACGCAGCAAGCACCCTGGGGTCTTTCTGGCAATCCTACCAGTGTCTCTAGTTTCATTTTTCTATGGGCTTCTAGCACGCTACAGTTGAGGAGAGGATAAAGACAGGGCCGGATTGGAGGATAGGGGGGGGGGGGTAATGAGGACAGAGGGGCAAAGGAAGTAACTATTACCTAATGAAATCCCATTAGGTAAGCCGGCTGCTGCACATGTACTGGGAACGAAGGTGTGGGGACCCTGGCCAGAGAGGGCTAAGAAAGGAGAGGAACATTTACAGGGCACCGAGCGTCCATTCTCTCCTGGAGTGTTCATACCCAGCAAGCTTCCAGATGGGGCCTGGGAAAATGGCAAGGCTAGACTGACAGCTTCAGGACAGGTGAGGCTGGATGGAGGGCGGGCTCAGTGGGAAGGCAGGGTGGAGGAGGTTCTAGCGCAACTCGGTTCTGCACCTGGAACTGCGCCAACCTGTGACCAGTGTCTTCTTGCAGCTGCCTAGAGCTCCCACTAATCTGAAAAGATGGGGACCTCCTTCTCCCTAGGTCTAAAGAGCTGCAGTAGGGAAGAGGGCTAGAAAAACGAAACCAGCTTGAGAAACAGCTTGCTGTGCTCGCAAAGGGAGGTCGCATGGCCCCGCGCGCCTTGTACGTGGGCGACATCGGAGGCTGAGGGGTGGGGAGTGTTCTACCCAGCAGTGTCCGGTTCCCTGTCTGTTCACAGAAAGGTGTCCACTGCAGTCACTCAACCCCGCAGATCCCGTGCCCGTGACCGATCCAGGTCAGCCACCCCTCCCCCTGTGCTCCACAGCCCACCCCACGCTCCACACCCCCACTGCAATGTGGGCCTCCTGGGCCCACGAGTAGAGAAAGGGTCGTCTAGCCGTAACCCACGGTACGAGAACTGGGGGAGGAAAAACATCTCGGCAACAAGACGCATGCAGTAGGCAGCGACAAGCCAAGCTGCTTGCTGCCCCCGCCGCAGCGGGGGAGGTGGAGCCTCGGGGGGAGGGGTTGAGACCGCCGAGACAGGCCTAGAAACTGCTGGAAGAATCGCAGTACCGCCGCAGCCGCTGCTCCTTCCGCCGCGCGCCGCCAAAGAGTCCCTGCCGGCCCAGGCCCGCGCCCCCCTCCCCCCGGCCGTGCTGCTCGCCGCCTGCAGCTGCTCACCGTTCCGGGGAGGGTGGGGGATCCCGGACTCCCTAAAGTTCGACACCGAATTTCTCATTGTCCTGTCCTCCCGATGTGCGATCTGTAGTGAACACGCTAAGAAGATCGGGTCTGGGAATGGCAGCCAAGTTGGCCATCACCGTGCTTTTTCCAAGTATTCCCTGAGGACTGGCCTCGTGGGAGTGGAGGCGCCTGCCTCGAGATTTCTAAGGGAGTCGGAGGGCTACTGGCCCGAAGAGACATCACTAATGGCATATGCGTACCCGCTGGGCCTCAGCTCGCGGGTCCGCGTCCCCGTACTGCACACGGCATTGAAAAATCCTTGACTCGGAGCCCAGGCCCCGCGCCCGCTCCTCCCCGCCCCCTCCCCGATCTGCTACCATGACGTCAGGTGGGCGGGCGGCGGCAGGTGCGCGCCCGTAGCCACTCCTTTAAGGCGGAGGGATCCAAGGGAGAGGCCGGGCTGTGCTTCGCCTTATATAGGGCGGTCGGGGGCGTCGGAGAGCTCTCTTGAGTCACCCCCGCGCAGCCTAGGCTTGGCGTGCGAGTCGGACGCGCTCCGTGCCCACCCTGCTCTGTGCTACTACTTGGCTTTTCTGTCAAGGTAAGGCCGCGGCCCCCTGCCCCTGCGGCTTCGCGGGGCTCCTTTCCGAGCCTCTTCCCTCCTTCGCCCTCCCTCCGTCGCATCTTCCCTAAGGGGCTCGCCCGGCCTGGCGGCCTGTGGGCTGATTGTGCCCGGAGTGCCTAGGATTGCTTGTGGTTGACCCCGGCGGGCTTGTGCGGCGAGGCTCCTCGGTGCCCCGGGTGGGTCCCCAGCGCGTGAGGTGGGGGCGCGGCCCGGCTAGGTGGTAGGTAGCCGCACGTGGTAGCCGCCGACCCGGGACGCTGCCATGTTTGCCCTCCACTTCCGGGCGCGGCTGCAGGGTCCGCGCGGTGGCGGGCGCCTCTGCGTGACTCAGCACGGCCCGGCGAGGTTGGACTGGCCCCCTCTCCTGGACGCCTGTCTCAAGGGGCTTAGTTTTGGGGAGGGGGTCCACGGATTGGCAGGGGTGCCTGAACCCACAGCTTTCCTTTCTAGATCTTTCCTGCTCTCCCGGTGGAGGAGGAGAAACGGGGAGGGGGCCGGCTCGGGAGGATTCATAGGTCCCTCCCCTACTCCTCCCCTCCCTGGAGCTCAGATTGTTCTGGAAGCCTCTAGTGCCCCGCCCCAGTGCCCGGATGCTGGGGCAGTGGGAGGGTTATGGTGGCGCCCCCTCCCCTTGTGGCGCCCGCCGACGCATGTCCGGCAGTGACGAGGGTCGCTGGATGGCTTGGGCCACCATTTTACTTGGGTTAAGGCCCATGCAAGTCTGCGCAGTGAGCGGTCACGGCGGAGCTTTTACTCTTTGTCCTGATTACCTCATGACTGCAGCCTCGGGTTCTCTTGCCTTGCTAGGATGGAGCAGCACATAGAAACACGGCTGCTGTTTCTATTAGTTTCTTTTACGCCTAAATGAAAAAGTTGCAGTTCAGAGATTTCCCGTTTATATGCGCCCAGGGGTTGCTTGGGGGTCTTAGTGTGTTGGCGAGTTATTCTCGAATTTTAACAAGGTATGTCGGTAGCCAGGATTGAGTGAGAGCCTGATGGTCGAGCATACCGTTCAGAAATTATGACTTTGCGTTTGTTTGAAGAACCGTTCTTTGGGGAATTTTCCACTGTGAATTTGCTTCTCGCTGTAGCTTCAAGGTCTTTTTAAAAATGGCGGTTCTCCCTTGGGAATGGATACTACCCAGTTTAAAGCAGTTTGAACTGAATTTTAAAATGTGCAGCTACCATGGTCTTTGATAAATGTGTGATCTTTCGTTCTTAGATGCCTGAGGAAGTGCACCATGGAGAGGAAGAGGTGGAGACCTTTGCCTTCCAGGCAGAAATTGCTCAGCTTATGTCCTTAATCATCAATACTTTCTATTCGAACAAGGAAATTTTCCTTCGAGAGCTGATCTCCAATGCTTCTGATGTGAGTGTTCTGGATTTCTAAAGCTTTTTGGAAGTGTAGGGA